GTTCTGCTTTTGAACCGCCGCTGTCTTCCCTGTCAGCTGCTCACAACCTAACTTTTGGGGATAAGCCCCTTTTCCACACGGGGCTTCCTTGGGTTGTAGCAGGGGTGGCTCCACTATGGGAGCAACATGCTCACGGGTTTTTCATCTCAGTTGTTTGTGTCATGTAGACAACGCTGAGGCTCATGGTTATTGTTTACCTTCAAAACAGGAAAAACAACTTAGGCAAGATAAGAGGCCTGTCCAAGGTGGAGTTCGTAGAGAAATCCTCTGGGTGGCATCCCTATTTTGCCTATAACTTTCTGGATGTTTTGCAGAATTCCCACTCTAGTCCCAGGAAGAAAGCACATTCATTCCCTCATTTTATGGACAGAGTCTGAGGCCCAGGGAAGGCTGATCTATTGCCCAGTACTTTATCCCCCTTTCCATCCAGAAAACACAAGTGAATGTCTTTGCAAGTTACCACTAGGTATCTTTCCAAGTGGAAATAGAGTTAGCATTTACTGCATCCCAGACTTTCCTGGGGTGTGGGGTAAGGGAATGAGGTAGGGGAGGGAGTACAGGAAACCGTGGAGTCTTGCAGGGCTTTTGAGGAAGGTGGAGAAGTGAGATTAAAGGGTCCTGAGGAGAACATGAGGACAGTCTATGAGGGGTATACAGATGAAACAGGAGTGCTATACTGAGCAGGAAGCCCTACCACACAGTAGGGAGACTTACTGTACAGAATTCAGTACCATTCTATGCCTTGTGTGCAGCTAAGAGGATTCAGTGTCCTGAGCCAGGGTTGGGTGGGGTTGGGGTAAGAACAAAGACCTGGCCTTAGGGTGCCATTTCCAGAGGGGCTAGGGCACCTGTTCTGGAGCAGTGACAACTCTTCAGGACCCTGGAGGATACCTGAACCATGGTCAAATGCTATCCATAAAAAGAGTAGTTTCAGGAAAGAGGTCTTGGTGATAGGAAAAGATTGGAGTGTACAAGGGGACACAGAGACACTCATAAGTCAACAAAGTTTCATAGCACCCAAACCTACTCTCCAGCCTGCGATGGCAAATTCCATAGCAGGCAGGGAAGTTGTGCTCTGTGAAGTAATCTCCCTAAGCAGGGGAGTTCCCTGGTCAGCATGATGTAATGTAAGTGCTGTTCTTGGCTAATCCCCACCATGGGGAGACACCCTACTTACCTTATTTCTAATTGCCTGCATTTCATACATAGGCAAGCAGACACCACGAGAAGGGAGGTGACATACTAACTAGGGTCAGTCTAGAATTCAGACTGGGGTTGAGATTTCAACAACCGACCCATGACCTTTCCAAAATGCAGATCACGCTAGCCCTTTTCACAGCTCCGAAGATCCTAAAACACTATACTACTTCTATCTTTTTCTTAACACAGAGAGCACATACATTTTGTTCAAGGAGTATTTGCAAACACTTCTTCCCTTCCCTGGTGTCTCAGCCTCCCACTTCCCCTCTTTGGGCGTTCACAGAAGCACTGATTTCTCAGCTCTTCATGGGATACTCCATGTGTTTATAAATGCCTACATGTAGATGAACTCTATAAAAAAACAAGCATGTGCTATTATGTATATGTTTGCCTCGAGCCACTTGGCTCTTCACATTGAATTTATAGATGCTGGGCTGTATCTGCTTGCCCCTATAAAACTGCAGTCTCTTTGTGCCTCTAATCAGATTGCCCGTGATGTGTATCACGTCTTAGTTTAAGGATTATTCAGTAACAGAACAGAAGTATTTGTTTCCCTTCTGGCTTTCCTGAGAGAGAGGTCTTCTGGGTTGGGAGACAATTTTGTTTTCAATTATATTTCTTCGGCATAAGAGTGCGAGGCCACCTCTCTGATTCACCCAGCACCCCTGGCAGCTCTAATTTCCTGCTGAGCTATGTGTCCTAGATGGGTGGGTGACTCAGAATGCTGTAGAAGATTTGATCTGTGAAACTCCTCACTGGGTTAGCATGGGGGTACTGGTAGTGGTCCTGGCTTTCCTCCAAGGCATTGCTCAAAGTTTTCTTCTTGTGGTGTGATCTCCAGAACCTAGTGCAGTGTGAATGATCACCGTGGCCAGACGGCAGAGCAGGGGTCTCAGGTTGTCTGGTTTCAAGTTTGGCTCTGCCTTTGACTAGAGGTACAGGCTTAGGTAAGTATCTTCATCCCCAACTCCTGCCCAGTTTTCCTATCTGCAAAACAAAGGAATGGCTTACTTCTAAATCAAAAGTAGTCTTTGACAGGGACCTGGGGAACAGCCTTTATTTCACAGGTGCCTTCCTGGACTCTTGCATAAAGCCTTTTTGGAGCAATGTCACCCGTGCTCCGTGGCCAGGTGAGGGAACACCAGGACTTCCACAGCTCCCTTTTCAGTGTCCTGCATCAACCTCAAAGTCCCTTGAGGCTCACGGTCAAGTTTCCCTGGTGGTTGTCTGGTGCCTAGCATTGAGTGTCAATCATATTTCAGGATCCCAGGGCATGCGGTTTTGCCACATTCCAGACATACAAAATGTTCCTGCACGTGTCTCATTAGTAATGTCAGCATGCTGACAGAAACGCCCTCTTTGGCAGAAAAGGAAACAGCTCAAAGACATGAAACTGGGAGCTTGTTTGCCACTTGGCCAAAAATGGCCCAGCTGACCGGAGAGTCTCATTTTAGCCCAGTTTGCCCTCATTGGATCTCACGTTCTGTCCTCTCCTCTGGGTCAGTAATTCTCTTTTAGGAACCCCCAGTTTCATCTCTGCCTTCTCAGTGTGGCTCCATCCTGGCGAGGCTAACCTCTTAGCATAGGTGCTGCCTGGCTTCTTTGAGCCATGACTTTTACTTGAGTCTGGTGATTGGGATCAAAGGTCTGGAGGGGAAAATGGTCAGTGATTCTTCTCCCCTCTGCCTGCACTTTTCCCTGTCCAAACTTCTGCATCCTCCAGTGAAGCCCTTCCTGAAGGTTAGTGCCATACTAATGCTAAAACGAACTCCAAAATAGTGCTTTTCTACATTCCTAATGCTGTGATCCTTTATTCCAGCTCCTCTTCTTGAGGTGATTCCCCAGCCATAAAATTATTTTGTTGCTACTTCATTGAAACTTTGCTACTGTTATAAATCATAATGTAAATATCCGATATGCAGGATATCTGATATGCTACCACTGTGCAGGTTGCGGCCTACAGGTTGAGAGTCAGTGTTCTAAAACTCCTTTTACCCCATCCCAAGGAATTGGTGCTAATAGCTTCCCAGGCCACTGACCCTGAATGTTCCTAGCTGTTCTGTGTTCCTTCTGTCTGTGCTTCTCAGCAAACAGGTCAAAAGCTCCCCTCCTCTTTTAAGCCTCTACAAGCTGTTTCATAAATATTTTTCTCCCTTAAGACTTCGCCTTGAGTGGCCAGCTGCTTTTTTTCAGGACTTGGGTCTCTCTAGCCATCCCAGTCTCAGGCCCTTTACTTTTCTGTTTTGATGCTGAGATGTCCTATAGTCCGGTTAAGCAACAGCCTCCTGCATCCCTGTGTGGCTCCCCTCTAGGGAGATGGCTTTCTTCATGGTGGGATGGGGTATAGGTATTGATGTGGCTCATACCTAAAGCATCTGAGTTGGGATTGTGAGGAGGGGACTCTGGGGTGTTCCAGTTTGAGATGACAGCAGAACCCTCTTTATGAGTCTTCCTGTTGCATCATTCCCCCCTGCCAATTCCAGTCTCTGGACTGTATCTAGATAGCCTTCTCTGGCTTCTGCTAACACGGGAACTGTAGACAGCATCCTGAGTAGTAGGATCCTATTGTATATTAGGGTACATTATTGTATATTCAGAGTCCAAGAAGGCACAGGTTACTCGAGGCCACTTGATACTACTATGTTCAATACTACTGCTATCTTTGTATGAGTTGAGAACACCCTGGAGTGCCTCAGTCTGGTGTGTGTGTGTGTGTGTGTGTGTGTTTCCTGGGGTCACACCCTGACCTCCGATTTTCTAATCCTTCTAACATAAGCAACCTTCCTGGTCTACCTGCACATTTTATAAACCATAACACGTGGCTGGCTGAATCACCGTTTGTTGACCCTGATGGAGTGACAGGAGTTACACATTAGCCACAGAGTGGAAATTGACAAAGATTGATTAGATTTCTAATTAGGCTGCCTATTTTTGCTTTTAGTCCTTAATCTTTGGGACTAAAGTGGAATCAGTCACTACAGACCGTGCCAGATATTTTTCCCTAAAGAATATTCTTTAAATAACACACTTTGACCTTTTGGATCTTTCTTGGGTGTCCCCAGCCCTGGCTTTGTCACCTCCTGGACATTTGCCCTCTCATTCTCCAGGCACCTCCCCTATACCCTTGTGGTGGCTAAGCATCTTTTTAGCCCCAGTGAGATCTCAGAGTCAGTAGGTTCTTAGTTGAACACTGAAAAACATATCTAAATCCAAGAAGAGGAATTGGTTAAATAAATTTTATCACATGCATATAGTAACATAATATAGTCACCCATACATCATGGTGCCATGGAGCTATTGCCATAGCAACCATTTTATACTTTGTAGAAATCTCAGAATAATCCTTCATTGTAAATAGAAAGGAATTCTATACTTTAGATCATTAATAGTTTGCACCTCTATGGATTTCTGAGTAAGGCTTTTTCTTCATTTCCTTGTCTGTGATTCCTGTTTCTTTCCCCTCAATAATCATGCATTATGTAATATAATTTAAGAGCTTTTTGTTTAAGGAAGAGGAATGTTTTCCAAAGTATTGGCGCACAATAATTGTAATGATCTAAAAAAAAGTATATGGAGTGTGAAGTTATCCTTGCATAAACATGAGATGAAACAATTCAATTCCCTGGAAATGCAGAGTTAAGAACCAGATGGGACCTTTCCACCTCTCACCCTCCCGCTCTGTATTTGCTTTGTACAGGGGAGCCACCAGTGCTATCCATGAACAGCTCTGTCCCAAGCTGGAAAATGTGGCTGCCTGGAGAGAGACCACTGGTTCTCTAGGCAGGAGAAAGCTTACTTACCGGAAATATACAGTCTTTTCCGGGGACCCGGAGCTGGCCAGACATCAAGAGGGTGCTAAGTCCTGCGAGGATGGGAAATGACAACAGGCAGCAGGTGAGAGCCAAGCAGGCTTTGCTCCTGGCAGCTAGCCCGGCCCTGGCCTCTGGCCTGTGCCTGCAGCCTTCCGGCAGCATTTCTGGGGCTGCTTCCCCGAAGCCTAGCCCCAGCTCCTCTGCCATGCTTCTGCTGTCTTGGAGATACTTCTGATTCCTTCTGACCAGAGAACCCCCCATTAAATAAGAGAGCAGCTGTCAAACTGCGTGAGTTCATGCCAGTCCTCTCCTCCCTTTTTTACTCTCCCCTCCCCCTGACAGCCCTCTGCAGCCCGCCCTGCCCGGCTAGGGAATGTGCCGCCTACAACAGAAACCAAGTTTGGTTTAAGAAAAAAAAAAGAAGAAGAAGAAGAAGGAGAAGAAGGAGAAAGCTTTCCCAAGCATATTTATATACAGTATGCTCATGTGCTCTTTCCTTCGTTTACAGAAGGAAGTCAGGAAAGTCCCTGGAGGAGGAGATCAAGAATGCATCAAGTCAATGGGTGGGGAAAATTAAAATGTACCTGCTCCCTGCCCTGGACTGCAGCCAGCTGAGCTGGTCTGGGGAGTGTGTTCCTTCTGGAAGTGAAAGTGAGGGACTAGGAGGTGTGGCTGGCAACAGGAAATGGAAATCACGTTTACATCAGCCCTTTGTCAGTGTCCACAAGCCTCTTGCTCTAATAGCAATTCCCTGTCATTGTACACATGGCAGCACTGACGCTCGGAATGGCACCTGCCCTAGGTCATTCTGGAAGGAGGAAAGCAGAACCAGAGAGATGTTCATTCTAAGTTATGAGCAGACGTGGGCATTATCTGTGAAACATAAGGATATTTCTAACCCCAGTTCCAGCAGAGAGTATCTGGTTGTGGTCTTAGAAGTGACTGTCAGAGAGATAAGGACACAGGCTTCTGTTAATTTTGTCCCAAAGTTAACTTAATGCCAACTTAGTTTACCTTGCCTATGTTGGCTGTGGATAGGAGAGGGGCATGGCAGCTGATAAGGGTTAGCATTCACTAAATACTTGGTTTTTTTTTTTTAACTCATTGCTGGTAGTTAACTATATCAGTCTACTTATTTCATCCTGAGACAACTTTTTCCTTTACTTTTTCATTTCTTTCTTTTTTCTCTTTAGTTTTCTTTCTTCCTCCTCCTCTTCTTCCTCACCTTCCTCCTCTTCTTTTTTGATACAAGGTCTTTCTATGTTGCTTTGGCTGTCCTGAAATTCCCTAAGAGGTCCAGGCTGGCTTTGAACTCAAAGAAATCTTTCTGCCTTAGTTGAGAGGAGTGAATTCCCTCCAGTGAGTGTGTGAGGAGGCGTACTGGAAGAGGAGGTGGGGCTTGAATTCAGTTTTAGAGGTAGGGAGGGGTGACACCAGAGAAGCATAGAGGACCCTATGTAAAGGTGGGCTACAGAAATCAGGAATCTATGGCCAAGAGCTGGCTTAGCAGGTGCAAGTGCTTGTTGCCAAGCCTGAGGGTTTGAATTTAGTATTGGAAACCCATATAGTAGAAAGAGAGACCTGACAAGCTGTCCTCTGACTCCTACATGTAGACTACGGCAAATATACATGCAGGATGAATGAATGAATGAATGAATTAATGACTAAATAATAAATAAAAAGAGGGGTGGGGAGAAAGAATAAAGAAACCTGATACCTAGAGTGGCCTACGGCATGTCCCTGTTTGGTGGCCTCTGGTGCCTTGAACACAACCCAAATCCTCTCAGTATTTGGGAAAGCTCTTGGCCTGGATCCCTACCTGTTGTCAATCCTACCCAGGGCCCAGACTCATCTCTTCCTATGTTCCTAAGATGTAGATTCTCTAATCCTCTACAGACTGATGCTCATCCATGGTGTTTTCTCTGCTGTGGAAGCTTCTGGTTTTTTTTTTCCTCTTCCTATTCCCATATTTCTATATTCCCCAGCTGCACTTGGAAAACTTTGCTGTATCCCTTCCCTCCAGCTGGATATGATACTATATTCAATGCTCTTGAGACATCCCATTTTCTCTGACACCAAATGCTCCATGTTAGACTTGGCTTTGCTGTTTCTGTCACTTTCATTGTACCACCATCAAGGCTGGCAGGGAAGGTGCTAAGTCATGTCCTTTCCTGCAGCTGTTGCTCCTGGCTTGGTAGTGGTTACATATTTGATTCATAACTAATGACTGTTGAGGTGAATTCCATTGAAGGGTGGCTTTTATGGCCCCTGTTTATCCATGCTTGATTTAACAAACCTACTAAGAAACAGATCTTTGAGATTTGCCCAAATCCTTGTCATTGTAGTTTAACATTTCTTTTGATGACAGAGCGCTGTACCATGGTACAGATGTTCTAATTTGTTTAACCTTACCCTCTGAGGGCCATTTGAGTTATGTCTAGTAATTATGCATAAAACTGTTATGAATATTCATGTACAGGTCTTTGTGCAAACTCACTTTTATTTCTTTGACATCAGTGACCAAGAGTGGCACTGTTGTGCTGTGTGGTGAGCACATGTTCGCTGTGTAAGAAAGTGCTCTAGTCGGTTCAGAGACCATTTTAGTTTTCTCAGCAACATGTCAGATCCAACAGCCCTTTCAGAATTTGGTATTATCATTTGGTTTTATCTTATCCATTTTTATTTCGTGTGTGTGCGTGTGTGCGTGTGTGCGTGTGTGTGTGTGTGTGTGTGTGTACGTGTGTATATGTGTCACAGTATGCATGTTTGTAGACGTGTATGTGATGTGTATATGCATATAATACTTGTGTACACACATGTACCACAGTATGTGCATGTGTGTATATGATATATGTATGCATAGATCAGAGAACAACCTTGGATATCAGTCCTTACTGCTTACTTTGTTTCAGATAGGGATATCTTGTTTGTCTAGGCCAGCCTAGCTGGCCTGAGAACATCTGGGGACTCTCCTTCCTCTGCCTCCTGTTTCCCTGTAGAAATCCCAGGATTACAGATGTGCACCACCACACCTGGCTATATGTGAGTTCTGGGAATTTGGCGTCAGTTCCTCATGCTGAGGTTGTACACTTTACTCTCCAAGCATCTCCCTATCTTTGTTTTAGCCTTTTTTTTTTTCTGCTTTGAGACAGGGTTTCTCTGTGTAGCCCTCAAACCCTGGAACTCACTATGTAGACCAGGCTGTCCTTGTACTCACAGAGATCTGCCTGACTCTGCTTCCCGAGTGCTTGGACTAAAAGTTTGCACCTCCAGGCCCAGCATGTTTTATCTATTCTGATAGATGTGAAGTAGGAACTCACTGTGATTTATTGACTTGACGATGATGTGAATACCTTTTTCTGTGTTTGCTCGCCATCTTTAGAATCCTCTTCAGTGACATAAACATTTATTTTGGTGGCTATAAGTGTTTCTTCTTTTCTGCATCCTCAAAGGATTCAAAGGCACATGGTAATTGACTTGTAGCTAACGAAGGAACTACTGTACTCGTTAATGAAACAGCAGAAGGTAGGTAGAAAACCCCTACTTCCACAAAGCTGGTGTAGCAGTCCCCTCTTGTCCACAGGGACTATGTTTGCATACCTCTGCCAGATGCCTAAAACTATAAGTAACCAAATCCTGTGAAGGGACTCCTCCACCTTTGGTGCAGCTTGTGATAGGGTCAAACCCAGAGAAACCCATTGAAGGTGAAGATACTGTAAAATGAAGTCAAATTTAACAACATTTCACCTCTTAAGCATCACAGCTCAGTGCCACAGGGCACCACAGAATTTCTCTTGAGTGGCTGATGGTGGCTAGGGCTTACTGCTGTCATTGCCAAAAATCCCCAGAGAGTATCTGTCACAGACTGCTAGGTAGGAAAACTTAAAACTTATGCATTGCTTTTATCCCATCACACAGGGGAAAATTACAAGTCAAACTATACACCCTGGGGGCCGTCGCTACAGTGTCTTTCCTTTCCATATGTACCTGTGACAAATCTTAATTTATAAACTAAGTGCAGCAAGCAAATTACTGCAATAATTGACTATAAAATAGAACAACTGTAACAATCGAGTCTAATCAAAATTGCCGGCACCACATCTGATGCTCTTTGAAACCTCTTTCAAACAAAACGAGGGTTACTTTATTGCAAGCATGATGACACTATGGCAGGTGACCTGGTACTCAAGATGGCTGCTCACTGATTCACAGTCAGATAGCAGGGAGAGCATGAACACTGCAGCTGGGGGGCTGCTCGTCTTGCACAGGGATCGGTAAGATGTAACAAGATTTCACGTGTCTCTGAATGAGACATGGTCAGCAGTTCAAAATGTGGGAATTGATCACTTCTGGAAAGAACACACGGAATGCTCGTCAGCAGTTTAGAAAATAAAGTAGGCGGGTATGGGGGTGTGTGTGTGATCTTCATGTAAAAGATGATGATTAGAAAGACTACCACTAAAAAAAAAAAGAAAAAAAAAATAGAAAGACCACCACTGTGTACCTAGTCCCAAAGAGACTTGATGTGCTAGGGTAGAGTGGGCCATCTTCTCAGAGGAGAAAGGGAGGAGGGCTGAAGGGAAGGATTGTGGGAGGGGGTGACCGGGAGGTGGTCAGTGAGAGGGATGTAAAGTGAATAAATAAAAAGAAAGAAGGAAAGGAAGGAAGGAAGAGTGAGCACCACCAGGAGACCAAGAGGTAGGGAGAGGAGAAATCGAGGAGGGCAGTGTAACTCAAGAGCAAACATGGAGAAAATACAATGATATGTCTATGAGAAAATGTCCTCAGGAAACTTACTGTTCCATACACCAACTAAAAATGTTAATTAAAAAAAGGAAGAATAAGCCTCCTAGAGAGGAGATGGAGGCACCCCAAACTATAGAAGGCTGTGGTGACTTGAAGAGAGTTTCTGGTTGTGAAAGCTTGGGGCGTGCAAAGAGGATAAAAACCAAGGCCTTTGGATGAAGTGTGTGTCGGGGGGAGTGAGAACAAAGGGACAGGGTTGGGTGGCAATGGAGGCTGCTGACTATGCAGGGCCTCCTCGAGAGGGGTAAGACCTAGTTTTTCTTCCAGTGAGGTATGTGTCTTTGAAGGCATAGGGCACAGACCTTGTCAGGTTTTTATTTTATCATGAAGACCTTGCTGGCTACTGTTTTGAAAACAGCCTAAGGGAAGGGACAGGCAGGGAGACAAGCTGGGACAGTTTT